CAATTACAATTCTTCTTATTTCTCAAAAACTTATATTTTAAGCAAAAGAAGCTCTGATTTTTAATGGAGAATTTACGAATCAATCAAGTATTGATTTAGGATTACTCTTAAAATAAAAAGGATGCTATTTATTGGAAGGTTAAAATCAATTTTTATAAAAGCAAATGTGATTATAATCCCGTCAAACTATATATGTTAAATTGCAATAATTTTTCTTATATAAAAGTACTTTGTTCTGGTTTCTTTTATTTTATCTCCTCTTTTTATTTTTTAAGTTCTGAGTGCAACCTCAAGAAGTAAAGTATCATCAATTAAGATTAATTTTTTGAGAAGTTAATATATATATTATTTTGTCTAAACATCTATTTTCACAATAAATTTTAATGAATCGTTCACAATATAAGATTTTGGTATGGCTGATATTGCTTTAAAATATATATAAAAGTTACAATATCTAAGAATGATGATGAAATATCAACTCCTTGTTTAAATAATGAGCAATTCTGAAAGCAGATATTTAATAAAATAATAATAAGGAAACTTTAATCATTATTCAAGGTTGATTAAATTTGAGAATAACTAAAGATCTTTACTTTTCAAAAAATTTAAGGAAGTTAGTATTTTTATGATTATGAAAAGCTTTAGTGAAACAATTATTCAAAAATGTATAATGTGAAATTTATATAATTATCAAACGGGAAATGAATCAAATATTCTCACATTATACTTCAAATAAAATTTAGTTAGAATAAAGGTTAATAAAATAATTTGCTTGAATAAAATCGAAAGACACAATATTAGGTGAGATGTAATATAAAACTTAATTTAAAAAATCATAAATTGAGAAGAAAAAAGAATTGATAAAAAGCAACTCTAAATGAAATGAAAAAAAATTATAATAAAAATTACGTTTGCTATACTATTTATCAAATATTATTTGACTCTTAAAGATTGGTTTATAGATTAAAGATGTAAAATAATCATTATAAAATGTTTAAATTATAAAACAAATATATTTTATAATGGAAGAATTTAAAATTTGTTATTGTTTGTGCTTTGTACTTGAATTTCTTCTATTTAGTCTTCCACGTTACTTTAGAACTTTATAACTTATATTTGCAAATATATATTTTAAATAGAAAATTAACAAGCAGATCAGATTTTACGAATTGATCATAACAAAAATTGATGTTACATTTTAACAAACAAAATAAACCTTTATACATAAATTTTATCAATAATAATAATAATTATCTTCTTTAAAATTCAAAATAAATTCTGCTGTTTTGTCTACTGCTTGATCATTTAATTTTGTTTCAGTTAAATTAAAATCAATAACATCATTCTATTAATTTCCTTAAATATACAACTAGTTTGTTTTTAAATTTATATATTTCATTTCCTAATTAAGCTTATTATAGATTTTAGCTTATGGTAATTTTTCGATTTATATATAATGCAGAATCATATATATTTGTTTATAATTTTCTTCCAAAATTTAATATAAATATTCAATCTTCCATCAATTGATAAGACAAGGTATTGATATCAATATTCGATGATAAATATTTTTTTTTATTTTCATCTTTTTATTTATTCAATTTATGAATATTAATTTTTAAGATGTCTACACGTTTGTAGAAATTAAAGCAATCCTTTTTCAAATCTATTTCCCAATATTCTTATTTTTGTTTGATTTGCTCAAAAGAAGTAATTTCAAATTGAAGAAAATTTAAATTAATATCTCATCTCTTATGATCATCTTTCAACTATAAGAGAAATTATTTCCTAATAATAATTCATCCAAAAATAAGTAAATTTTTATTCAGAATATTAACAATAAGAAAGAAAACAATTATTTGACTTTTTCAATTGCAAGAGAATTGAATTAGACAGGTATAACAGTTTATTTGGGTTTATTCTAGGTTTAAATCTATATTTTCAAAATTGCCTCTCCATTATTAAAGATCTCCTTTCTAAAAAGAAAACGACATAAAAAGAATATATCACTATTTTAAAAAGGTTTTATTAATTACTTTTTGACAATAGAAAAATTTAATTTCAGATTAATCAATAGTGTAATTTTTAAAACTTTAAAAATAAAAACATGACAGTTTTCAGCACTCAATCTGCTCATAAAAGCAACAGGTACTTTTATATTGTAAATAAAAGGCTATCAAATAGGTAGTGATACCAAACGAAAGATTTAATTCAAAAAAGAAAGCAAATAAACCTAAATATAATTATTGCTAAAAAATCAATACTATATTGTTAATAGTTTATGAGAATATTACTAGAACAAAATATATTAGAGTTGCATTGCTTGTGCTAATTCTATTTGAGTTAGATTTAACACTGAATTGCCTTCCTCAATTAAGATATGTAGATGTATTATACTCAAAATAATTCTAAATTCAAAAATACTTGAAATGAATATTATGTTTAGATAAAACATATTCAAAATTGAACCTGTAATTTTACAAATTATACTATATTTA